CTGGCCAGCTCACTTCACTTAGAGAAAAGGCAAGACGGACATATAACCAGATTGTGACCAGCACCATCAGTATTGAAACTCTTCGCTTGCTGCTGAGGATTAGGACGGAGCACACATGGGAATACTCCGAGTGATGTGATGTCAATTCTTGACTCTTCTTCTACACGTTCACCTTCAGCTTAGAAAGTGGAAGACGAAACAACGGAATCACAGATGGCTATAATGAGGATCAGTTACTCGTATTACTAATATGTTTCAGTCTAAAATTTTGAAGCAGAAACAAAAGTTCGGTTCTTAATCTTATGTTGAAAGACAAAACGGAATACCATCATAAATAACCCCCCTCCCAGTGAAACATAGGCCCATATATATGGGTAGTAGAACAAGCAGTCACACATTCAGTAATTGTTTCAGACTCAACTGAAAAAGCTTCAGAAAATCGCAACGGCTAGCGGCTAGTTTACGATCTGAATGGGTAGAATGCATTCGAAAGTCGCAGTTAACTTCTACCATCTGGATCTATACACTTGGGCATGCAGAAGTAAAAGGTAATGAAAGAGTGACCAGCTGGCAAATAATGCATCAATGCAAACGGGAAGAAGCATGGACAGAGCTGATATAATCAACGCTGTATGGAGATGGTTAAAGGACCCTTTTCCACGCATTTAGGCATATAGGGCTAGACCTACATTTTATAGACCAACGGCACAAGATGGATAATGTGGTCAGCATCATGCCGGCCACCTCTACTTCCCGGGACTGCACCCGGTACCCACTGAAGGCTGGGTCGACCTGGGAGCCAAGGTAATTTTGTATTGAGATGGTTGAGGGATACAAATTAATCGTGACACGATTGCGTGACATGGGAGTAAAGCTTGACAAAGCACGTATATGTCGCATTCAAGGTCAAGACCGGAAACACTAACAGCTTCTCATGGGAATAATCAGTTTGAGGTACCTTGCAGAGTCTGCTGCATCATAAAACTGGGAACGCCCTATGTGCAAGGACGTCGATTGTGATAACTCTTTTGGAAACTGATCTCTGTCAAGTTTCATACTGTTTATTTGTGAGCCAGTTAAAACGGGGGTTTTTGCTTGCGACTTGAATATGGAAATAGGGATAAATTTGAACTTTAGTTCTTGACAACGCCTAACTGAAAATTTTGACAGATTTCCCAGGTAGCCGGCCATAAACCGCATTTTAAATACTGTACTCTCAATATCTTTTACCAAGTTTCAATGGCGCTGCGAGGAGTTACAAGGGGATCTGGGCAGCGCTCAACACTCAGGGGAAAGGCGAGACGAAAATACTATCAGGCACTGATGCCATCGGAATTGCAACTCTTCACTTGCTGCCAAAGATAGGGACGGAGGCCTAATGGGGGTGTCCCGAATGCTGTAATGTCGATTCTTAATTCAACATTCAACGTTTACCAAGTTTCATATTACAAGTTTGGGAGCCAATTCTCAAACTTCCTGCCTAAAAAAAAAAAGTAGTTCCGTCTGACGAGAAAATGGCGGACATCCCCTTGCTATCGCAGAGGTAATTTATGCTTTAGACGGATTGTGTTTGGCAGGTTCTCTTCGTGGCTTTCAGTTAATACAGAATATTTTACTGTCAATGCGGACATTAGTTTATGTTTGGTCTTGTGGTCAAATGACAGTGACATGTAACAAGATGTTGGCTTGCAACAAAGTTGCTAACTATAGCGCCTAGCAGAAGACTTCTGAGAAGTCGCACAAGACAGAACAGAACTCAAAAACAAAAGATGTGGCTTGATCGGCAAGGGGACTTTTAAAACAGTTAAGGTTGATACTATTCAGGCTTACGATAAAGAGTGTAGCATCATAGTTGTTCGTGAGAAAAATACAGTCTGTTCTATACAATATTTAACTGTTAACTGCAAATATTTTTAAGGAGGTGTTGGGGGGAGGGGTGGGGGGTCCATTGTCTTTGAACCCGAAGATCCCAGAGGACAGCAGTTTACGAAGTAACCATAGGGTGCCCTAGTACAACTGTATTTTGGTTGAGCAGGGTTTTTGTGATTCACATACTCATGGGTAGTGGGCCCATGGTTGTGGGGGGGGGGGGGCAGACAGACTGCTCCCGTCCCCCTCCCCCAACAAGCATGACATAAAAACGTTGAGTGTTTCCTTCAAAGTCAGAGTACATCTGTCTGAGATGCGAGGAACCAACAGTCTGCACATAAGCAAGTCATATCTATAAAATTGGCTGTGCACGCAAAACCCAAGTTCTGGAACAAGACTAAAGTCCAGAAGTAAATAAACGTGAACTTTTCACCAGCATTTACAGCCAGTGACTGCAAAGAAGAAGAAGAAGAATTCACATTCCCCCAAAAACGATTGTTCAAACTTTCAGACTGCAGACCTGAGACAAAAACAAATGGAATAACAAAAATAGCCTGAGAATTATGGGCATAGCTAGTGCAGTCACCACTAAGTACAAGTGAGGAATTTTATGTACAAAAATGTCCTATGGGTTACTGCCTGTGTGCCATGATGATGATCCATTGTTCAAACCTCTAATCCCCACACTGCATAAGGAATTATCAGTCTGTCAGGTACCAGCTCTGTAGTGAAAGTTGCCTGCACTGGATCTCTAACACTCTGTTGTCCTGGTTGTGCATTTAGACATAAAGAGTGTCTGTGTTGAGAGGTAGACTGGAGGTTCAAGGCCAAGTGAATGGACATCACTTATTGCTACAAAGCCTGGCATATGATATTACAACTAGTTTGAGAATAGAGGTGGAGGCAATCACTGCTGCCTTCCTTCTGCTGGCTTGAGAATCAGCTGTACACACATGTCGTCATTGCAACTGACTCACAGGGCATGTTGAGAAAGGTGGAGATAGGCAGGCTTCGTGCGGAGGGGCAAGCATCAATTCAGAGGTCATGGGTAGTTAACTTCCTTTGTATATTTTCTCCAGGTGATGCCGGTGTGTTGTTAAATGAGCAGCCAGATAGACTGGCCAGTTCTCACCACTTGGTTATGAATTGATGTATGACAAGCTAAATGTCAGGGCTATCTGGCAGCAAGTAAACAGTGCTGAGGCACATATAGATCAATACGTTCTAAGGAAATTAGCGCTGCGAGGAGTTACCAGGGGATCTGGCTGATGCTCAACACTCAGAGGATAGCTGAGATGGATATACAATCAGTTACTGGTGCCACTGGAATTAGAACTCTTTGCTTGCTGCTGAAGATGAGGATGAAGAGCTTATGGGAGTGTCCTGAGTGCTGTGATATCGATTCAACATTCAGATGGGTCTGCTGGTCATCAGTATCTCAATATCATACCCACTTATATCACTGTCTGCTTCTGGCTCATCTGCTTTCAGTGATGTAATTATTGCAAATGTTAAATGGAAACAGTGTTTAAGGGTGGATGGTAGTGAGTTTCAGTGTCATTCAGCAAGCGAGTGAGTATGGGAAGAAAATTTACTAGACAAATCTAACCTCACAGTAAGTTGATGCTTGAGCAGTGGGCAGAAACACCTTACAGTCATGCTGAGGGAGACAGAGCTTCTATAACAGTGCTATAATTGTCATGTTTGGTCTTAAAACCAAGAAATTATGCTGTATTACAAGTAGCCCTAATAATACTGTTAGGAAAAATAAAATTGAGAATGATCTTTTATGGTATTGTTTGTGCTGTCTGATGGCTTGAATCACAGCATTCAGGTCAGTAATTGTATGAATTACTGAGAGTTATTGCTGGGCAGAGCTGCCTTGAAGGTGTTTTGACGTTATTCGTGGTTTCCTTATGCACCGTAACCCATTCTTCTACAGTTGTAGTCATACAAGGGTAGCTTTTCAGATTCTCATAAAATGATTGAAACACCTGATTCATTCTCTTTGTATAATTAGTGCTTGATGTTGCTGTTACAGTTCCTCATAATTTCCTAATCTCTCTCTCTTCTGGTTACAGGCATCTCCTCCCTCAAAAGCTTCCTCACTTGCGCCATTGATGTGGATCTTCTGTTGATCACTTGTCTTGTCTATTGTACAGTTAGTCAGTCAACAGATTATCCTCATTGCACGTCACACCATTCATCCGTAGGTACTCGGATCCCATCAGTAAATGCCACAGCGTGTAGCGGCTGATGACGCCAGTTTTGTGTTGGTTTCTTAGTTTCTTTGGCTTCCTGCATATTGCTCTTAGTCTGGCTAGACCCCTTTAACTTGCTGTCTGGTCATGGTTACAGATTCACAGTCACTTGGTTCTCGCAAACATTTTACTTCTCATAGAACATTCAGAGTATATCAGCCTGGTCCACGGCTCGCCCGTTCTTCACAATAGCCTTACCTGTCCCAGCCTGTCAGCTTGCTCATTTCCTAGCGCACTTGCTTACCGTGGCATGAAAATGAAACTTATTTTTGTCAGCCCTGACTCTCTGAGGCAACAACCACTGTCTTCGGACCCAGCCCATCTCTATCTTTCTGAAAATACTCATTGATTTAGACACTGAGAAAGCATGCATGATTGAAAGTCTTGTTTCCCCAGCCATGTTATTGTTTTACTTACTACCATGATCTCCAGTCAACGAAAAAGTAAAAGAATCTTGCATTACAACTCTCCATTGTACAGTAATGAATGTAAACAAATATGACATAAACCATCATCATTCTACCATAAACTGGGGGGGGGGGAGGTGTTGACCAGCATGGAGGAAGACACATGAATTTAGAGATACCTTTGGTGTGAAAATACATGAGGCAGGGAACCAAGGATATTACTGGCATGCAGTAATGGGTGTGATATTCTGCATAAGACCTGCTGTATACAGATAATGGCTTCAAGACAGGCCAGTGATTTGTCTGTGCTGTCTGAACTTGTTGGTCTGAATTCAGAATATTATGCAGTTTTGCACATATAATTTTCTTCCATATTTTCAGAGAAATTGAGGTGTATTTATTTGTCTTCCTTCAGGTGATGTGTGCCATGTTTAGTGGTTATCTGTGCTGATGGTTGAGCATAATGGACCGGGGCACCCCTAACAATTCCAATAATAATGTGAACACTGGGGACAACAACAACAACATGAATACAATCAGTATAGGCTCAGTGGGGTTAACCCTGCCTGTGACCTCAGGGATGGACCCCAACAGTGGTCTCAGTTCAGGAACAGTTACAGGGACAATATCGGTGCCGTGCAGTGCTGGAGACGCCATTGCCCAGCATCAAGGTGGCATGCAAGCCCAGCCTCAGCATATTCAAATACCGGGAACGGCCATGTCTATAGGCAGTCTGGCTGTGGCTATGGGGTTGTCGGGTGCAGGTTCGGACCCCAACAGCTTGACTTTTACCAGCCATGCTCTTGCTAGTTTAACAGCCAGGATGGGACTGAGCTCGATGGCGGGCACCAACACCGGTGGCCTGATGGCCGCAGGAAACAGTTTGATGACGTTTCCTGGCAACACAGCTCTGAACATTGTCCCAGGTGTGGGGATGGGACCCGCCGGGGTCAACATTGTTGATGGATCTGGGCTCAGCATGACTGTGGCAGGTGGGCTGACCATGCAAGCACCTGCAAACCTCAGTGTCATCGGGGTTCAGACTTCTAATGATCTAGCCAATGCTAACAGCATCCTTAGTGCACAGCAGCAGCAGCAGCAGCAGCAGCAAGGACATGCAGGAGGTGCAATTCTTCAGAATAACGTTCATATCAATGCAGGAGGCAGCTTAGTGAACAACATGGGAGGGAGTTTGGGAGGCAGCAGTTCCGCTGGACATGCTTCAGGAGCCTGTTGCGGAGGCTGCAGGACTAGGGTGACAGTCAAAGATCAGGCATCACAGACAGATCTGTCTACTGTCATACAGGTGATTGTTAGTTACCTGTTTGTTGTGATTGCATTGCTGTGTGGAGTATGACTGAATCAGTGTGTAGGTGTGTTGCTGTTAATATCTTTATAACTTGCTATCTGTATTATACAGCTGTGTTAAATTGTGGGTATTATAACAGATGTACTGTGTGGGTTAAGGCTTTCCTGCCGGCCCAAAGGTCTTGGGTTCGATTCAATTCACATTGGGACAGATTTAAAACAAATACATCTCCAGTTTATAATGGGTACCAGAAATTATAAAAGTGTGGGTCCAGCATCATATGCCCAATGGCACAAGAAGTGTAGTTTACTTTTTAATTTCACAAACTATTTGGGTAATTCAGTGAAAACAGTATGTGGATGCTGTAATCATCACAATTGATTGATTCAGTCATCCCAGTCAGTATTATGTGAGAATGTTCCAAGGACAGTAATCTTATTAATTCGACACACTGACTGACTGACTGACTTTTAACCCCACTAGGACATCACATAGCAATAAACACCCGGAGACACAAAGTGCCACCATTTGGATAAGGATCACATAAGGAGAGATCCCAGAAACCCTGTTCAGCCATTAGGTTATTTTAGGGCACCCGGCAGCAGCCAGAATGGGTCTTCAAAATAAAAAAAAATTTGTCCCACATGGGGACAGGGATTACAGTTTAATACACTTGGCAGTCTCTGTGGTCAAGCCGTTTACATCACTTTCTGAAGGTTGTGGGTATGTTTCGCATACATGTCACAGATGTCTGGTCTGGAGCAGGTATTGGCCAGTCAGTGTTCCTTCAGTCTTCTCTAGCATCTGATATTCTCATACAGTGGGTTTTGCTAATATTATTGTTTGTTGCCCAACTGTCTAAGGTGTCTACATACATCTTTCTCTGTCTTCCTTTGTCTCTCTTGTCTACCATTTCCCCACATAAATATACTGTTGTCTACCTTTTCTGTTGTTATGCCCTATGCATTTAACTTGTCTGCCTGTCGGTTGCAGGTTTGAACTCAAATAGCTTGAATTTTACCAGTAAGTAACAAGCCAAACAGACAGGATGGGATTGAGCTCAAAATGAGTTTTAACTCAGCTGGTCTATGGTTTTACCATCCACAGATCTCAGTACATTAGTGTTTCTTCCCTGTTCACTTTATTTTCCATATTCTAAAAAAAAAAAAAAACATCTTCACTACTCTGTTCTGTTACTCTTTGATTTAAGTTAAGAAGCGATTTCACAGCACTCAGGGCATTCCCATAAGCAGTCCACACTCATCTTCAGCAGCTAGCAATGAGTTCCAGTGCTGATGGCACCAGTAGCATTTTTATTATTTGTCCATCTTGACTATCCTGCTGTAAGAGTGCCAGCCAGATCCCTTGGTTATTCCACAATGTGCCATTCTCTCCACATTGTAAGGATCACAGAGACATCACGGGAACACAGAGACATCATTACTAATTTTCCAAATTTGATGAATCATATACATCTTACAATTTTATTACCCATGTTACATGATGTACCAGTGTATGAATATTATTTGTGACTTACTACTTGAGTAATATGATTTATAGACGATGATGAGAAAACCCTGGACAGATAAAAAGTGTAATGAGGATTTCTGAAAAGAAACTGACTCACAAAGAGAACTGGTTGCCTACATCAGAAAGAGACAGTCTGCATTTTTTGGTCATGTGATGAAAAGGAGAAAACTTGAGTACATTGTGACAAGAAGAAAGTTGGAGGGGAAGAGAGGCGAAGGGAGACCAAGAGAAAACATGCTAGATAGTTTGACATCATCTTTGTCAGAGTTGATATGAAAATACCCGAGACAGAAGGTTGTGGATGGACATGACTACCAACGCCACATGGCTTGTACTTTCAGAAAATTATGCCATTATAGCTAAATTACAAATGGGTAATAATGCTTAAGGGCAGAAGTCGTTTATACAAATAAAGCCTAGCATCATATGCCCAGAGTGCCACTGGTCTTCAAAATATAATTGATTTCCTTACTTAATGTGCCTTAATTATTATGTTAATGTGTTTCGATAATGTTTTAAAAATACCTTATGAATATGTTGAGTGAATTACACTTTGGACTATACAATGACTATATGAATATTATGACTGATTTACTCATGGATAATGTGACAGAATTTGTTTGTGGATAATGCCAGCTTGGATAAGATTTTTACTAGTAAAGAAAAAAATGCTGCAGAGGTGTGGATTTAGGTCAAGAAAGTCCAGAAAGATATCTTGAATGAAATGAACTCACAAAAGAACTAGTTACCCACTTCAGAAGACAACTGGAGAACATCTTTACTGCAGGATGGTTGGAAGGAAAGAGAGGCAGGGAGAGACCACAAAAAAAAGTTGCTGGACAGATTGATATCACGACATAAAAGAAATATCATAATTGTTATCAGTACAGCAGACAGAAGGCGGCCAGCATACATATTGACCAGTGCCAAGCAACATGGGCTCAGAAAGAAAAGGATGGTGTGCTGCTTGGGGGTGCGTGGTAGATTAGTTATCTGGGCTTTTGTTACTAGTAAACATTTGCTGTTCACACCCTGTAGTGTACCTCTAAGCTACTGATGTTATGTGCATGCGTGCGCGCACACACACATACACCCACCCGCCCCACACACACACACACACACACACACACACACACACACACACACACACACACACACACAATCAATATATACACTATAGAGATGCATGCATACACCCATGCACACAAATACATGTCCATTACATGTACACCTGTGGTGCCCTGTCTGATGCTAGTCTTGTTACCTGGCCAAACCATTTGAAAGTTCAGCATTAGTTCTGTGCTACCCTTTTCCTGATATCATTGTTCCTAAGTCGATCTTTTCTCGATACACCTAGCATAGTAGGTAAACATTTCATTTATGTAAAACCTCATTCACAAACACACACACTAAAATGGTTAATAGAGACTTAGTTGGGTGAGTTATTGTTCCCCTGGAGGATTGGTCTGTAGGAGTAACAAACCTCAAGGTTGAGAATCAGACATGTAGAAATCCTGGAAATCCTGTTTAGCCTTATAAAACAGTTTTTTTTGGGCACCGACGGTTACATAGTAAAGTCAGGACCAGCTAGAAATACTGCAGTAAGACTTGAGAATGGATCACCTCTCCTTGAACTCATATGATCACCTCACCACATAGATCATGAACTCTCATATTATCACCTCACTTTATTTATCATGAACTCTCATATTAACACCTCACTTTATATATCATGAAATCTCATATTAACACCTCACCTTATAGATCATGAGCTCTCATATTATCACCTCACTTTACATATCATGAACTCTCATATTAACACCTCACCTTATAGATCATGAACTCTCATATTAACACCTCACCTTATATATCATGAACTCTCATATTAACACCTCACCTTATTCGTCATGAACTCTCAAATTAACACCTCACCTTATATATCATGAACTCTCATATTAACACCTCACCTTATAGATCATGAGCTCTCATATTATCACCTCACCTTATAGATCATGAGCTCTCATATTAACACCTCACCTTATATATCATGAACTCTCATATTTTCACTTCACCTGCTGTTTCATGAACTCTCATATTTTCAAAGTCTGTTATTCACATAACAGCGCATACTTTGTTGTTGCCTTTTCCCTGATTATCTGTGTGTTTTTGCATCGTCAGTTGAAAATTATGACAAATTGCTAGCTGGTGTTTAAAAGCAAAGAGGATCAACTTCGTTGAACTAGGTTTGATCCCATAGGGTGCAGTCTTTCTCTGCAGAGCCAACTGATTGCCTGCTGTGAAATTTGCAACAAATGTGAATTGTGTCCCTCTCGGGTATATCTACACTCACAAACTAAAAACCATAGTTTGAAACAAACCCACAGCTTTCAGAACATGAAACAGATGGTTGAACCACTTTGCTACAGGGACCCCAGCTACTAGCTGAGTAAGTTGAAGTTAGGAAAAGATACCGGAATTGGAGAGAAGACACACTGAGAAATATCTGATAATAGTCAACTAATAATATTGTTTGCCAGCTCAATGATATGACTGAATTATCACTATATTTTGCCTTAAAAATATTCAGCTTTCATTACTTAATTACTAGCTGGATTTTTCCCCACTAAAAGACTAACAAGGTACCTTGACTTACATACACAAGTTACCTTTACTTACATACACAAGGTACCTTTACTTACATACACAAGGTACCTTGACTTACACACACAAGGTACCTTGACTTACATACACAAGGTACCTTGACTTACATACACAAAGTACCTTGACTTACATTCACAAGGTACCTTGACTTACATACACAAGATACCTTGACTTACATACACAAGGTACCTTGACTTACATACACAAGGTACCTTGACTTACATACACAAGATACCTTGACTGACTTCTTACTAACAGGGTATTTTTACTGCACTGGTAGCTAGATATTAAGACTGAGTTACTGTCAAGATAATTAGACTGAATTACTTCAAGATTATTCAGACTCGATACCCAATTATGTGTGATTAAACTGCTAGTTGGATATTGCTATCGTTAAGATTAACTTCTGTGGCACATCATGCACACCCATGAGAGCTCAGTCTTGTGCAGCAGTTGACAGAGGGGATATCAGCTGATTTCTTCCCTAGGACGTTGATTGTGTCTTTACAAAGCCTGGTCTGTCAGTTTCTGTTTTCTGCCAGTGCCTGGCTTTGCCTCCATGTTCCACCAGTCTCTAACTTGTTGTTTCATTGCTTGTACCATGTTTGTGTCAGAGACGATGTTACCTAATAACTGCACAATTTCTCCATTGTCCATGTCCCAGCCACAAGTGTTTGCCAGGCCAGCCCGAGTCTCTCATTGCTTTGTACCCCCGTATGAGCAGGACAGTAAATTCATTGCAGCTGCTGACATTGTGAGTTTTCCAATTCCAGATATTAGCAACCCAGTCTTGGGACGGCCATCTGATGGCTAATTTCTTGAGTGTTGAGTATACAAGTCCAACTTTAGGTCCATAGACAGGCTGTTGCTACAGAATCACTAGTTAGATGTTTTGTTTACAGAGCCAATTATGATTGCAGTAGTAGATTATACCTGCAGTACAAGTTGGATATTATGATTACAGTACTCACTGGATATTATGATTACAGTACTCACTGGATATTATGATTGCAGTACTAGATGGAGAGACTGCAGAACTAATGGGACATTGTGATTGCAGTACTGGTGGGATATTGTGATGACAGCACTGGTGGGACATTATGATTACTGTACTGGTGGGACATTTTAATTACAGTACTAGTGGGAATATTATAATTATAGTACTGTTGGGATTTATGATTCCAGTACTGTTGGGACATTGTGATAACAGTAGTGGCGCGACATTATGATTACAGTACTAGTGGGACATGATTACAGTACTTACGGGACATTTATGATTACAATACTGGTGGGGCATTGTGACTAGAGTACCGGCTGGATATTACAAAGCTGCAGCAGTGCGGTGACTAACATGTTTTCTTCTAGGTCTTGTCTCCATTTATTTAAATGCCTTTCAAGGCACAGGTCTTGTTTCCATTCACTTCCAGGTGGAACAGTCTTATTAAATAATATAAGTATAGGACTACATACCCAGTATGCCTGCAGATGTGACTAAGGGATCTTGACCTTTTTTACTGAGATTTTATGACTGGATACTCTGTGTATACTGACTTGTGGGAGTGCTTATATTTTGTGACTTTAGGTACTGCCTTTATTTTGTGACTCCAGGTACTGCCTATATTTTATAATTGAGGTGCTTCTTATTTATTATGACTTTAGATAGTGCAGATTAGTTGACTCGAGGCACTGTCAGGTATTATGACCTAGGGGCTATTACAATTGTATATACACTGTAGATATGATGACTTAGGGCACTGTCTAAATATGATGACGAGGCCGTATCATAGACATATTAATATTGGGTTGTCAAATATATGAGATATTTCATATTTGAGAGGAAACCATCACATAGATCTGTGATTGTATAGTGTTTAGTATACTCAATACCCAGCACAGTGGTCACAGAGTCCCAGTCTCCAGTGAGGGCATCTTTACTGAAACACACACACTCTCCCCCCTCTTCCTCTCTGTCTCTCCTCCTCTTCCTCCTTTCCCTCTCTCTATCCCTCCATTCCCTCTCTCTCCCTCCTTTCCCTCTCTCTCCCTCCTTTCCTTCTCTCTCTTCTCTCTCGCGCACACACACAAATAAGCATAAATGCCAACACACATAAATGCACACTCACACTCGCATGCACAGACACACACTCTCACACACGCATGCACATGCACACACGTGTACATGGTTATATGAAAACCTAATCTAAAAAAATGTGCTAGGATACAGGTCGTCATGTGGCAGATACTGTCTGTAGGGTGTCAGTAGTTAGGCCTTTACTTTCTAGATTATGATGTGATGAGGTAGCCAGTTAGCTTTCTTGCCACCTATTATTCCTAGACATATTCAATCCCAGTGCGGATTGCAAGGCCCTATTGGGGGGGGGGGGGGGGGCACTGGCCTCTAATGATCATGTAGTAAGAGGTGACTAATTATGAGTTGTCTTTTTGAAGTTTGAGCGCACTTTTCTGAGAGGTGAGCAACAAAACAGTCTGCATACAAATAAGCTATGTTTGTAAATCGAATATGCACCCAAATCTCAAGTTGTAGAACAAGACCAAAGTCCTGAAGTGGACGAACAAACAGAACTTTCTGCCAGAGTTTATGTCTGGTAAACACTAAAAGAAGAAGAGGTCACATCCCAAAATATTCCTAAATTTATTCAATGCAACATTTATGAGTTTGGGTTGTCCCAGTGTTGTCAGGAATTTAATTTAAAAACAATTCTTGTCACTTGTAAGGATATAACCCAGACTAGTGTATTGGTAAACTGTGCCATCACTGCTGCACTGTATGCCTGTTACTCCACATCTCTGCAGCCGTGAGCTCCATAGAATTACCATAACCACCACATATAGCCACCCCATTATCACCACCAGGTCGACCTAGCCTTGACTGGGTACTGGGTGCAGTCCCAGGAAATGAAGGCGGCAGGCGTGATGCTGATCACATCAGCCATCTTGTGCTGGTGGTCTATAAAAATATAGGTCTAGCCTTGTGTGCCCTATACGCCTAAAGGCGTGGAAAAGGAACCTTTACTTACCACATATGGCATCTATTCTGTAATACCAGATTTTTAAAAATCACTGGATTTCTTGCTTTTGCAGGTGAAAGCAGAGGAGCGCCTGGCCAGGAGCGGACTCATGCCTGGTGCCCGGCTAATTTCCCACAGCCCCAGCGCCACTGTCAGCCATGTTAATCCCATCAGTCACCACGGCCCCAACTTCCCCTGCAGCTGTGACTTCTGTGGGCGGATGTTTGCCAAAAAGGAGTACCTGCGGCGTCACATTAGAATCCACACTGGGGAGAGACCCTACAAATGTGTCATCTGTGGTCACAGCTTCAGACGCAGGTGCCGTTTCTTGTCTTGATTTTTTTCTTACTATTATTTACTACCTGTAAACAATTATTAACAAGAAAAAAGACCTACTACCCCCGTAACAAACATGTCGTAGGAGGAGACTAATTAAGAGTATTTCCCACATAGTCAGGATGCATCTGCCTGAGAAGCGTGGAGCCAACAGTCTGCACACAAATAAGCTAGATCTGTAAAATAGATATGCACACAAAACCCGTTTCTGATTCAAGATCAAAGCCCCAGAAGTGTACGAACAACCAGAACTTTCCACCGGTGAATGCTAAGAAGAAGAAGAAGAAGACTCATGTTCAGTAAACCAGTCAGCACTCTGTGATGTTAGTATTGGGCTGACCACCTTTGCTTCCCAGGACTTTTAGTAGTGCCTGTTTTAAGCTGTTGACCTGGGAGCCCTAGGTAAGTTATACAGAATTTACATTGATGTCGATTCGAACCCAAAGACATTTAGACAGCCAGGCAAACATCTATCTTCTATGCTACTGCAGCTTCCATAGACCACAGAACAAACCAGAGACAGTTGGCAGCTACAGCTAGCTAGCAGCAGGTTGAACGTGGTCGAGCTTTTGTATGTTTTTGTTTTTGTAAAACGGAACAGAAAGCTCCCATAAACAGTAAGTATTGAACTTGCATTTTCTAGTATGGAATATGTATTTTCTTTACTCTTGATAGACATACATATTTGCCTTGTTAACATGAACTTAACGTGAAAGGAGAAACCTGAACATAAATTCTAGCATGGATAATTATTATTAGTCCCCAGTAAGCATGAATATTTTTAAAACACAAACTTGATTTATGGTACCTTGGAATTTGTGAGGTTTTACTGTATAATCATCAGTTACTTTGAAAATATTCTTCATTCATGTTACATCTCCGGGAAGTCAACAAATTTTTGATGTAGTTGAATGTGTCGGCCAAAAGACACAAATATTGCAGCTTTGCTGTAAACGGACATAATGCAGCTATGTTCCTCGGACAGACGAAAAGAAGAAGATAAAGTTACATTTTTTAAAAACATGTTTTTATTTTGAAACATGTTATCTTTGTTGACGGTTTTAAAATTTTTGTTTATGCTTTTATTTAAAGTTGTAAAAGAATTATTTAGTCATTCATTATTTTACCTTACAAGTTTGTCTTCCTGGTCATTCTCTTGTTCTTCTCCTCCTTCTCCTCTTCCTTCTTCTCCTCCTCCTCCTTCTCCTCCTCCTCCTTCTCCTCTTCCTTCTCCTCCTCCACCATCTCTTCCTTCTCCTCCTCCTTTTATTTCACAGTGGACTGTAGACATTCAGGCATTCCATACCTAGTCCTGTCTGTTATTATCTTTGTATCCAGCCTCAGTCATTTGTTTCCTAGGTTATTTCTCTTCTGTCATATAGTTCTCTTCCAGGCTGCATCATTATTCTGGTTGGCTTACCTTTTGTTGAAGGCAGCCAGGGAGCCAGGATGTACCTTAACCTATAGCATTATTGACTGCCACTTGAAGTGGCACACAGTATCAGTGCCACGTAAAGTGGCACACAGTATCATAAGAGTGGCCTCCCCAATAGAGCCTAAGCTGACAGCCTATCCCAAAACTGTCCGACTTCTTCATTTACAAGTAGTCATACAAAAATCTCCCAACCAAAGTTATCACTGTAAATGTATTCTGTCGCACCTAGAACTCAGCTGTAATTTATATTTGCTGTGATAATTTTTGCAGCCACCATCTTCGCTGCCACGAATTGACGCACACAGGCACCAAGCCGTACTCTTGTGGAATTTGTGGGAAAGCATTTAATCTGAGGTTTGTCTTTCATGCAGGGTTGCATGCTTGTAGTGTTTATATTCTTCTTTGTTTGACAGTTTGAGACATTTCCAGTATACTGGCTAGGTAGATGTACAGACAGTTCTACATCAGCTATGTAGATATAGGGACAATTCTGCGGTGGTTAAGTGGATGTGTGGACAATTCTACAGCCATTAAGTGGATGTATGGACTATTCTACAGTAGTTGAGTAGATGTATGGTTAATTCTACAGTAGTTGAGTAGATGTATGGTTAATTCTACAGTAGTTGAGTAGATGTATGGTTAATTCTACAGCAGTTACGTATATTTATAGACAGTTCTACAGCAGTTAATTATATGTATGGACATTCTTCACTGGTTGAGTAGAATGTGGGGATAATTCTGCAGTGGTTAAATAAATAGGAACAATTCTACAACCGTTGAGAAGATGTATGATCAGTTCTACGCTAGCTCAGAAGATGCCAATTATTAAACCTGCTAAGTACAAATATGAATAATTGAACACTGGCAAAATACATGTATGGAGAACCATACCCAATATAGATAATTCAGCACTGATTAGATAGATATGTGGACAATTCTAGACTTGGCTAAATTCACAGATGAAAATGTTGCATTGGCTAAGTGTACAGATGACTTCTGTTTACTAGAACCCAATATTTATTAGATAATTGTAGACATTTCCACACACTAGATCTACAGCGTAATTTCTTTAAATTCAGCTATGCTGCATAGTATCATATCTTTCATATAAATTCAGTTATAATACCTAGTATTAGATCTTTAGTGTAAATTGTTTTCATATATAGTATTAGATTTTTCTTATGAATTCGGCCATATTGCATAGCACTAGGTTATTCAGGAGCTGCAGCCAACACAAAGATAATATGTTTGAACCACTGTTTTGTGAAAATAACCTGATCTTGCAGTTTAACCACACCCAATATTGATGCGTCGGCGTCTGTGGCTAAGGCGTTACGAACGCACTTATTATGCCGGGATGCCGGGTTCGATCCCTGCTGCGGACGGTTTGTCTTGTGCGTTGGTTTCGACCGTGGTACCGAGAGCCGACCGTCCAGAAAGCAATTGCAAACTACTGGACGTAAATTTGCCTAGAAAAACCACAACAGCCAGAAAGTGCTGGGGTTGGTTCTGCAACGTCCTGTAAAGGATACGCAACTAAAAAAAAAAATATTGATGCAAGGAATTGTTCTGGAAAATAATTGTGTTTTTGTGATATTGACCACTGCACACATGGAGTACAGCTTGGACTATAAAATATGATTTCGGCCTTGTAAACCCTGTCCCCAGGCGTGGAAAAGGGTTAATAATTCAGTTAAATGTGCCCTTGCTACATACAATATTTCATACATATTCAGTTGTAGTATATTATATAGTGTTAGATCAGCCGGGTCCATGGCTTGTCCTCCCTCCTCAGTTGCAACAGAACTAATGGTGCCTTATGCATTGTTGTGTGTGCAATTGCTGATTTGCTGTAACCTTTGCTTCCGACATGTATTTCCATGCATTTGTGCATGTTATTGGCTGTGCCAAGACTGCAGACTGCTTCTGCTTTTTTCAAAAGGTACAGTGATGGGCATTCTATGTGGTTTTCGTGGAACGGAGAAAATTTAGGGTGAACTGTTTGCCATAAGGTTCGAACCGTGATTAACAGATTAACTGAATGTAGGGGACAAAGAGTTTACATAACTGGGGCAGAATGAGCCTGGGGTAACAATAGTTTGTGACAGGAGGGGTTGATCTGTTGAGCTAGGACTGAGTTAATGTAGCTGTGGTCTGTGATAGGAATTGACTTACTGAGCTAGGACTGAGTTAATGTAGTATTGGTCTGTGACAGGAATAGTTGAATTATTGAGCTAGGACTGAGTTAATGTAATAATGGTCTGTGACAAAAGTTGACTCATTGAGCTAGGACTGAGTTAATGTAATAATGGTCTGTGACAAAAGTTGACTCATTGAGCTAGGACTGAGTTAATGTAATAATGGTCTGTGACAAAAGTTGACTCATTGACCTAGAACTGAGTTAATTTAGTAATGGTCTGTGACATGACAAAGTTGACTCATTAAACCAGGACTGAGTAAATGTAGAAATGGTCTGTGACAGAAGAAGTTGACTTATTGAGCTAGAGCTTAGTTAATGTAGTAATGGTCTGTGACAAAATAAGTTGACTCATTGAACTAGGACTGAGTTAATGTATTAATGGTCTGTGACAAAAGAAGTTGACTCATTGAGCTAGGACTGAGTTAATGTATTAATGGTCTGTGACAGAAGAAGTTGACTCATTGAGCTAGGACTGAGTTAATGTAGTAATGGTCTGTGACAAAAGAAGTTGACTCATTGAGCTAGGACTGAGTTAATGTATAAATGGTCTGTGACAAAAGAAGTTGACTCATTGAGCTAGGACTGAGTTAATGTATTAATGATCTGTGACAAAAGAAGTTGACTCATTGAGCTAGGACTGAGTTAATGTAGTATTGGTCTGTGACAGGAATAGTTGAATTATTGAGCTAGGACTGAGTTAATGTAATAATGGTCTGTGACAAAAGTTGACTCATTGAGCTAGGACTGAGTTAATGTAATAATGGTCTGTGACAAAAGTTGACTTATTGAGCTAGGACTGAGTTAATGTAATAATGGTCTGTGACAAAAGTTGACTCATTGACCTAGAACTGAGTTAATTTAGTAATGGTCTGTGACATGACAAAGTTGACTCATTAAACCAGGACTGAGTAAATGTAGAAATGGTCTGTGACAGAAGAAGTTGACTTATTGAGCTAGAGCTTAGTTAATGTAGTAATGGTCTGTGACAAAATAAGTTGACTCATTGAACTAGGACTGAGTTAATGTATTAATGGTCTGTGACAAAAGAAGTTGACTCATTGAGCTAGGACTGAGTTAATGTATTAATGGTCTGTGACAAAAGAAGTTGACTCATTGAGCTAGGACTGAGTTAATGTATTAATGGTCTGTGACAAAAGAAGTTGACTCATTGAGCTAGGACTGAGTTAATGTATTAATGGTCTGTGACAAAAGAAGTTGACTCATTGAGCTAGGACTGAGTTAATGTAGTAATGGTCTGTGACAGAAGAAGTTGACTCATTGAGCTAGGACTGAGTTAATGTATTAATGGTCTGTGACAAAAGAAGTTGACTCATTTAACTAGGGCTGAGTTAATGTAGTAATGTTGACTTATTGAGCTAGGGCTGAGCTAATGTAGTAATGGTCTGTGACAGCAGAAGTTAACACATTGAGCTAGGACTGAGTTAATGTAGTAATGGTTTGTGACAGAAGTTGACTCACTGAGCTAGGGTTGAGTTAATGTAATAATGGTCTATGACAGAAGAAGTTGACTCACTGAGCTAGGACTCAGTTAATGTAACAGATGACTGAGACTTTTTAAGAGTTAAATCTTTGTGTCCTGAAGAGAAAACAAGAGTTAAATATCAGAAAATGACCATCTGGTTTCATTGAGCTTTATTAACATTGACCAGTTTCTCATGTGGTTGTTGTAGTAGCCTACTAAAACAGTGTTGATTTGATGGTTTGTGTCTTGCAGAGGAGCTGTTATTCATAATCGATTACTGAGAATTTACAAGTGATTAATAAGATCCCTCCCCACCTCCCTGTGTCAAGTTACAAATGCCACTGTTGTGCGGCAGGTATGGTTAATACACTCAATGAGACCATGTGAAGGTGTTAGAGACTGGCTGCAGTTTTCTGTCGGTTTTTTTTTTCTTGTCAGTTTTTTTGTTTTTTGCATGTAACCCTGCAAGCACAAACCTCAGATGTTTTGTTTTGTTTTTGTTTTTAAAACTTAATTACTTGATTATAATATTTATATACAGCCATAATATATTACAGGTTCTTTGCAGAATGTCGCTGTCCTCATGGTCATTTGAAAAAACTCATTTATTTGTATATCTCACACTTCTTGAAATTCCATGCCCAGTGTGTCTCTCATGCTTCTTCTTTTGTAAGCTTCCAAGAATCCTTACTGTTCTGTCTTAACCCTGCTGCATTTAAAATGTCCAAATAATTTAGTTTTTCAAGAACTGATGCTTGTTCTCAGCCTCAGTCAGCACCGGTGCAATCCCTAATACTAGTAAGGGACCCTTTTCCATGCCTTTCAGGTGTATTGGGTATACAGGGCTAGCCCTATATTTTTTTAGATCAAACGGCTTTAGGTGGGTGATAAGGTCAGCATCACGCCGGCCGCCTTTACTTCCCAGAATTGTATCTGGTACTCACTCAAGACAGGGTTGACCTGGGAGCAAGGTTATTTTTGAAAAAAATCTGGCCTCCACCAGGAACCAAACCCATGACCTCACGATCAGCAGGCAAGCGTCTGGCTGCTAGACCATGATGGCTCCCCCAATACTAGTATACTAATTAATAAATGTTTGGATTTAGGGGGAACAGTTTGTTGTATGGAATAGCCAATGCCTGCTAACCCTTGCTTATGGTTCCTGACAACACACATCTTAGGTTACACTGTGCCTATTCTCATTGTCCCTGACGGGTCTAATCGACACACAGATGCTGTGAAGCTTACAGTGTTAAATGATTGGCTGCTGACATGAGACTATCAGTTAAGGAGCCACAGTGGCTTAGGAGTGCTTCTTTATTTCACTTAGTTGATATAAGCCAACACATGTTTCATCTGGCTCTGATTATTTTGTGCTGCTGTCACATTTCTAGCCTCCTATTTGACCAGTTTCACATTAGCATTCATAGTATCTTCTGATGCTAGTATAGCCATAACATACCTTCACTAGAACCCACAGAGCAGAAGAAATAAAGGAAGACCTAAAAAAAAAATAATCAGTAAGAATATTAAAATGGTTAATAATAATGCGCAGGAGATGGCAATAGACGAACGTGGTGTGATTTCAGGACATAGATGCCGGTGAAGCATTAAGGAAAGAACAACAAAACAATGACTGGTTTGTCTCCCATGTTGCTCACTGTGCCTAAAACTCCTGTGAAGCAGCTGTTAGCCCATGTGACACACTGTCTCCAATTGTCATTCCCATTATATTTTCAGCGTACCCTGCCATAGGGCTTATGTGATCATGTCAGTCCTTACATGGCTTGGTTTGCTTTAAACAACGGATCAACATCATGGCACAAGTGGGAAACCCATCAGTGCTCCAGTCTACTTTTAACTCAAGCCTGACTCAGAAAATCTCAGTGCAGTGCAAAAACTCCGTAGCACCGGCGAGGATCCTGAAATATTTTGAGTAGATTTTTTACTACAAATTTTGCCTGGGAAGTGCCGTTAGGCTTCTCTTTTTGATTTTCAACTGCCAAGGGATTTTTTTAAATGTGCGCAACAATGCACGTGAGCGCCCGATCTTACTACCTAGAGACCAGAGAAAATTACTAGAAGTCCACGTGAACAAATCCTAGCCTTCATTGGGGCCTGAACCCGGGACCTTCAGCACTCGAGGCGGACGCCATGCCTCGAGATCATGCAGCCCCCGGTCCTCACTTGTCAGTCCTTGGTATTCTGAACCAGTTGAGTAATTATATTCCTGCATGGTATCATCTTAGGCTGTTCTATGTAATTTCTACTTTTGTCTGCCTCTGCATATCTGCCCTTGATCTTTCTGGTCATCAGGCATCTTTTGTCATTCTCTCTTCTCACTGCTTATTTTCCTTGGGCTTCTTCACTAGTTCTTTAGGTTCTGTGATTTTCATCTTTCACTTTTTCTGTATTTTTTTTTTTTGTCTCTTGTTTTCCTTTATTTTCTGTTCTTCCATCATTTTCTCATTTACCTTCATTATGACTTTTTTCTCCTTTATGTCTCCTTTCTCATTCCTTATTGTTCCATGTCTTTTCATTCTCGTCCTTTCTATCCTCTTCCATTTATCCATGTTTTTTCCTTCTTTTTTTCTTCATTATCTCTCCTGTTCTTCTAATTCTCATAATCTTTGCCCCCTACCCCCACCCCTTTGTATTCCTATCTTCATCAGTGTTCTATTCTTCCATCCATTTTCTCTGTTATCTTCATTATCCGTTTCTTCTCATTATCTTCTTCTCTTTCTTTTCTCTCATGTTCCCTCTTTAAATGTGTTCTCCTTTGTCTCTTCTATTTTTTATTCCCTAAACACAGAATTCCCTCCCAATTTAGCTTCCCATGTCTAACTGGAATCGCCCCATTATTAATCACTAAAGTACATTCAAGAAGATCAGTATGTATTTGACTCTACCGCAGCCACCACCTGAGGCGGCATGAGATGACCCACACAGGGGAGAAGCCGTACGCCTGCACAGAGTGTGGGAAAGCCTTTACCCGCAAGCAGCACCTGGACAGACATTACAAGACCCACACGGGGGAGTACCATCGGACCTTCAAGTGTCCATTTTGTGAGAAGATGTTCTTCAGAGCTCATCACCGAGACAAGCATATGAAGCGCCATGGTATGTGATCATTTGTTGGCTGTCCCCTTCTTCCTTCTCTCAATCCTGTGGTTTTTTTCCCCCATCTTCTGCTTCTCTTTTACTTTAACCCTCTTCCTACTTCATTTTCTTTTTGTTTTCATTTACCTTCCTCTCCTTCACCTTCTCTCTCTTTTACTTTTATCTCTCATTTTCTTTTCTCCTCTTTCCTCTGCCTTTTTCTTCCTTCATTTCTCTCTTTTACCTTGCAACTTCTTTTTCTTCTTCCTCCTGCTGCTTTTTTCTTCCCCCTCCTTCATCTCTTTTTTCTTCTTCTTCCTCCTCCTAATTCCTGCTTCTGCCAATTCCCCCTCCATCTAATTTCACCCCTTTGTCCTTATTTTTAATATTTTCAGCTATTTTAACTCTTCCTACTTCTTCATCATCTATCTCTTGCTTCATTATTCTGGCTCATGGATGTAAGTTCATCACTGGGAATGAGAAGTCATACAATTCAACAAATTAACCTTTTCATCTCAAGACACAGCAAACTGCATTTTCACCTGTCACAAATCCCAGAGAATCCTCTTAACAAACATTGCAGCACTGGCCAGTCCCCAACAAGCCTAGTTAACTGTATTGGTTCTCTTTGCACCTGCTTAGTATTGGCATGTCAGGATATGATATTTACTTAATTGAGCATGGGAGGTTAAAAGTTTTTTTTTTTAAAGCCATGATAACGTCATTAGTCTCTCTTAGCCTTTAGTTATTGGGGTCACTGTATGAGTCAACTTATGCAAATTTATTTTAAGGACCAAGAGGCTGGCCAGGTAATTCTCTGTGCGGTGTCTCCTGTTGATTATTACTTCCCTTCATTTCCTTTTTAAAAAAAAATAACAATTTACAAATGTGCATAACTGGATTTTAAAAGAAAAATATTTTAGTGGTTTTTATTTAAAAAAAAATCAAATATTTAAAGGAATTTCCACGCTCTGGTCTTATTTCTCTAAAAGTTTTTGGTGGTGTGAGAGTTGAGTCTCATTATGCTATACGCATCATTTGCACCCAACGGAGCATAAACCCACTACCAAACTCTACCAAGTCTGTTCTTTGCCATCTCATACAGATTACCCCCATGTCCTCTGTTTTATTTGCCTGTCTCTAATTCTCTCTTTTTTTGTCTCTTTTTATTTCTTTGACCCTGTTGGTCTTGTCTTGTCTTGTCTTGTCCACAATTGCCCCACAGCGTAGTGGGGAGTCGCAGTTTTCTATCCTGGGCCAGGTGTGTTGCACGTGTTGTTGTTAGTCCGTGTTGCCTCAGGATCTCTGATATATTGTCTATCCATAGTACTCTCGGTCTGCCTCTTGCTCTAGGGCAGTAGTGCTGTTCGTTGTATGCTCGTAGAGGCGGTTGGTCGGTTTGCATTTGCATCAAGTGGCCAAACCACTCTATTTGTTGCTTCTTTATGTATTGCAGGCATGGTGTGGTTCCTACAATTGATCTAATGTTCACGTTTCGAACTTTGTCTCTCCTTGTGACATTGGCAGCCTTACATAAGCATCTCGTCATGATCTTTTTCTCCTGTGCTTTTGTTAGGGACCAGGTTTGGCATTGGTAGCAGAGGGTTGGTATAAACATGCAATTTATCAGTTGTCGTTTTAGTGCCATAGTGATGCTTGGGTGTTTTAGCAGTGGGGAGAGTTGGTAAGTTACTGCGTTCGCCTTTTGACATCTTGCCTCAAGCTCCCTATCAATTCTTCCATCATCTGTGAAGATGCTCCCCAAGTATTTAAATTGCTGCACTTGTTTGAGTTGTTCGTTGTTAACTTGAATAGTTAGTATATTAGGTGTTCTACTTATTTTCAGAATTTCTGTTTTGGTGATGCTGATCTTCATGTTATATTCGTTACAGACTGTATGTAGCGCATTTATGTGGATTTGAAGTTCTTTTTCGTTTTCATGTATTATGCTTTGGTCGTCTGCGAAAAGTATTTCGTTCAGTTGGGGATGTACTTCTTCAGGATCGGCGTGGCTGTTTTCGTATTCCTGCGTGACCTCTTTGTGTTTACTGTGTTTAATGGCGGGCTGGTTGTCAAGCCCTTCGTCCTCCGATCTTTGAAGGACTTTTTCATACTCCTGATCGTATCTCATACTCCTGTTGGTTCCAGGGTTAAAACATTATCCTTCTTCTGCACTTGAGGATAGACCCTGGCAGTTAGTATTGTAACTTTCATGTGAGTTGTTAGTATTGTTCATGTCAGTATTTACTACTGTAACTGCCATGTCTGTATTAAGTACTGTAACTGTCATTATTTAGTACTGCAACTGTCGTGTGGAATAGTCAGGTGCCACTGTCATATGAGTAGGCAGTTCTGTCACTATCGTGCAGGTAGTTATTACTGTAACTGGCTGTCACTATTGTGCAGGTAGTTATTACTGTCACTGTCTAAGCATGTATTAGTGTTACTGTCTAGTACTGTCACTATCATATGAGACAGTACCATCACCGCCATTGAGTAGCTAGTACACTGTCAAATGATTAGTTAGTACTGTCACTGTCATATGTCATTAGTAATGTCACTGTCATATGAGTAGTTAGTACTGTCACTGTCATATGTCATTAGTAATGTCACTGTCATATGAGTAGTTAGTACTGTCACTGTCATATGTCATTAGTACTGTCACTATCATATAGCTAGTACTGTCAGGTCAGTAGCTTCCTCTAACGCGTGTGTGAATATTTCAGTTCTAACCACACCAGATTTGACTGCTGCTGCTTTCTCTCCAGTCGGCAACCTGAACCTCTCGATTCGAAGAGATGGCACCCTGCAGGCGGACGGCCTCAACTCATCTCCCATCAGTGTGGCCAGCAAGGAGCACTCCCACAGGTCAGTGCACTTCTCACCATTGAAATATATCCGTATATTTGTAATTTTGATGCTTCCTTCCAGGATTTCAGCCTTAAAGATTGATATCTAGTGATTCAAAAAGCGAACTGAAATTAGATCTAACAGGAGCATATCCCCAATAGCTTGTTCAACTGTATGCAACAGTTATGTTGTGGCACACTATGTTATCAAATAGTTATCACATAACTTGCAGTTGTCCCTGTGTTATGTGTATATATATATATATATATATATATATATATATATATATATATATATATATATATATATATATATATATATATATATATATATATATATATATATATATATATATATATATATATATATATATATATATATATATATATATATATATATATATATATATATATATATATATATATATATATATATATATATATATAGAGAGAGAGAGAGAGAGAGAGAGAGAGAGAGAGAGAGACACTCACACAGACAGTTTAAATGTGTATGCAGTTGGGGGAAGGGGGGAGGGGGGGCTAACTCTGTCACGTTGCTGATTTAGGGCCATCAAGAGTCAGAAGGTAAGGGGTATGCAAGACTGGTACTACAACTTCACATCTGTGGAGAATGTCACTAAGTCATGATTGATCACTGCATACACACACACAGACTGGCTGGCTGGGATGAGGTCCAGTGTTTCCTCCACAGGTTTGAGGTGTCTGAATGTCATCAGTCCGCTGCCCAGAGGGAAGACGGTGATCGAATCTAGTCTTTTCCAATTGGTGGTACCGGAAACAAATTAAAAAGTGTCTGATATCATTTTTTCCAAAGTATCGGAGCGTGGACTATAAATTGGCTCGTAATTTAACATCCACTTCTTGGACATCGGACTACATTAATTGTTGTGTGTGCTCAACAAACATCAGATATTTTCTGTATCACTTACATCCTGGTAAACTTCAACTGCTTTGCCAGCTGGCCTTGGTGATCATTGTCTAGTGCTAGTTAACATAATATTTAATATACTCACATACTTATATATAATAATCCAGGGTTGTCCGGTACTTCAGACTTCTGTGAGTGGCCAGCTAACATATATTATCTCTTATATTGAGTTATAAGTAAAAGTAAAGATCCCTTTTCACGCCTTTTAGGTGCATCGGGCATATGGGAAGAGCACCCACATTTTTACAGACCATTCGGCACTAGGTGTGTAATGTGGTCAGCATTACGCCGGCCGTCTTTACTTCCCCGGGACAGCAATCCTGGTAACCATTTAATCCTTTGCTGACCAACTTCGACGATCAACGAATTTCCGGCCATATCCCCTGGTGACTAACTTCGACGATCGTCGAATTAGCGACTTGTAGTCTGCGGATTAAACTGTGTCCGGGTATTCTAATTGTTCCAAGATGGCCGTACGTTCGATTCATATCGATTAGAGTCATTACAAGCGTTTTTTTTTTCCAGTGAAATTTTTTAAATTTTTGGGTCAAGTGCATATACAGACTTTTCATCATGTCTGATGATAAAACCCAGACCTGTAACAGAGACGATTCAGACTCTGCAAGTGACTATTGTGCTGAAAGTGATGATTCCTGGCTTAGTAGAGATGCACCAGTGGACAATATCGCAACTGAAAGTAGCGACAGCGATGATGGACTTATGAGGCAGGTGATGTAGGCACTTCTGTTGATAGAAGTGGGTGTGGCACAAGAGACCAGAATATATCTACAGCTGAAAATGTAGTTTGGAAATGGAGAAAGGCTGCTGAAAATGAACTTGTTGAGATTGATAATCTTCCTCCATACCAAGAACAACAAGGTGTTATGTCAGACACAACTGGATTTTTGCTGATTAATTTTTTCAAAAAATTTTTCCCTGACACTGCCATAGATTTGATCACACGTGAAGTCAACAGGTATGGTGAAAATCACCTGTCTCAGTACACTGGAAGTGCCAAGTACAAAAAACTCACTTGGGATAACACTGATGCAGTTGAAATTTCTGCATTTATAGGCCTTCACATTGGTATGGGAATGTGCTGTAAACCAGCAGTTTCAGACTACTAGTCTACGAATTTTAGGCTGAATGAAACAGCATATTCGAGGGCCATGAGTCGAAACAGATACCAGCTGCTTCACAGAAATCTGCATTTCAACAATAATGATGTCAGAAATGAAAGAGGACAGACTGGGTATGATCCCTTGTTCAAACTCAGGCCCCTACTAGGCATCATATTGCCTACATACAGGGAAAACTACACACCTGGATGTGAGTTATCCATAGATGAATCAATGGTGCGGTTCAAAGGCAGAATATATTTTAAGCAGTATCTGCCAGCAAAGCCTACTAAGTGGGGATTTAAGTTATTTGTGCTTACCGATGCTAAAACTCAGTATTGCTTAGAACTAGAGATTTATACTGGTAAGGCAAATAATGAAGGTTGTGTCGGGACAACTTCCACACTGGTAAAACGCCTTCTTGACGGATACGAATATAAAGGTCATATTCTGTACTGTGACAGTTTTTATTCAAGCCCAGCTTTATTTAAAGAGCTAAAAGAAATGCAGATTGGTGCATGTGGCACAGTGTCTGAAAGAAGGAAGCATTTTCCTGAGATGTTAAAGAAAAAGCAGCTCAAACTGAAAAAGGCAGATAATCCTGTGTTTTGTGTAGCAGAAGATAAAAGCATGTTGGCCGTTACCTGGCACGATACCAAGAGAGTTAACCTAATTTCTACTGTTCACTCCAATGATGTCATGGATAAGACAGTTAGAAAAAGGGGAGCTCCTGAGGGCAGAATTATCAACAAGCCTGTTCTAGCTGAAAAATACAACAAAAGTATGGGTGGTGTCGATCACTTCTGCCAACTTGCTGCAAACTACCCATACCCACACAGATCCTATAAATGGTACCTGCCATTGTATCATTTTTTAGTTGAAACTGCTCTTGTCAATTGGCATATAAGTTACAACACTGTCAACTCTACAAATAAGATAACAGCAAAGAAGTTCAGGCAGGATGTCAGTCTTGCTCTTATCGGACCTGCTGTTCTTCGGCACAACGTAATACCTTCTAGACCACAAGTCACAACATCACGACTTACCGAACACAATTTTATTGAAAAATATGAAAAGCCAAAGTACAAACCAAACTGTAAAGTGTGTAAGGCTGCAGGTAAAAGGAGCCAGACTTGCATGTACTGCCCAGATTGCAATACACCTCCATGCTTGACACCCTGTTTCAAGCTATACCATACAGTTGAGGATTATCAACGTTCCCGACAAAGACTCTTGTAGAGTTCTACAGCTTCAACTTCAGTGAATGAATGAAGTAGCTCAGACTTTAGCTAGAGGTTAGAGGTGTTTTTGTAATCAAACATTCACAAATCCTCATTGTAACATGCCACATAAACACAATACACTCAAGAAAGAAAACATAAAATTTTTTTAAGTTTATTCAATTTGTGTTTCATTTTAATGTTGAAATATTTGGTTAATCATTAAAAAAGTACTCATACAAAGCTAATTTTATTCATTGCCAACCATGTCCTCAACATTTTATTGCATTGAAGTTAAACAAATTCACTAAAAAGTGGAAAAAAGATGACAGTTTTAAAACATCTCCTGAAATTTCTATAAATAGCCAGATAAATCCAAGATGGCCACCATGATCATGTGACATATTTGCATAACATATTTGTTTTCATGTGTAGCAACCATTCCTAATGGGCCTCCCAAAGTTTCTATACCCTACGCCTTAAAAATTGTTTTAAATGAATTTAATTAGAAAAGCAGTCATTTTTACAAAAATCTTCAAACACCCTTGGTAATGGAAGACAGTAATCCTCCAAATTATTGGTCAGCAAAGTGTTAAGGCTGGGTCAACCTGCGACCCCTAATACCACGATACAAATCCACGCAGCCAGCAGAGGGTTTCGATAGTAGTATGTTGGAATTACGAGTCGGACTCTCAGCGCCCAAGCCACGGACGCCACTATATTGAGTTGTGCCCATATTATAGTTGAATATTATCATCTTAATATTGAGTTGGGCCAGTGTTATAGCTAAATATTTATTATCATCTTAACTGAATTATACTTATGTTACAGTTGATGATTTGTTCATATCACACATCATGAATGATGAGCAAAACTTTCCACTATTTCAGTTCTGATGATTATTTGACATCCGATGAAGAAGGGAAAGTGCCCGACTCAAACAAGCCTAAAGAGGGAAGCAAGAAACGAAAGGGCACCTCGCCAATGAGACTACGATTTCCTTATGATTACAGCGGAAAAGATGGGCCAGAAGGAATGAAGTCTCCAAGCATGGATATGATTGCTTTGAAAAACATGGCCTTCCCACTTCCCCATGGAGTACCGGGCCCTAGTCACGGCCCAGGCTTACCCATGCAGACCAGCCCAGGCATGACCACACCGACCCGCGGGCGGCCAAGGGGTAGCAAGAACAGAGGAGGCGGGACATCTCGGGGCAAGAAGAAAGCTGAAAATGCTGAGCTGATCAGTCATCTAGCTTTGGAGATGAAGCCAGAGAGGATGGATCTGGATAGAGAGGGCTATGGGGGAGTGAAGAAGGATGATGAGATGATGAGTGGGATGTATGGGGGCAAGACTATCCCTAATATCCCACAGCAGTTTGTGTCCGAGTCTGTGGTAGTCAGACATCCCTTGCAGGTAGGGAGCCCACACACAATGGGACAACAGCAGCAGCAGCAGCAGCAGCTGGCAGGTCTTGGTGGAGAGAAAGTTATGTCCATCAAACAGGATGAATCCACACCAGGTCCGGTTCCAACTCCCACTCCCACACCAACACCCGATGGTAGAGGAGCGCCTCTTCAGTGGCAACATCAGCAGATGGGGCTGAATCCTGCGGGAGGAAATGGCAGTGGAGCTGATTATATGCCAGGTATGAACCGGCAACTGCACACGCCAGGGCCAGCTGCCGGTGTTAACTCAGGGGGGAATAACAGCGGTACTACTGGTGATGTTCAACAGACCATGCACTACAAGCCTCCGAGCACGCCTGACCAGAACATGCATCATTCTTGGGCTGCGGCTGGCAACTGGCCTCGTCTGACGCTGGCATCCGATGCCGGCACCAACTCTTATAATCAAGTAGACGCCTCTCGTTTCATGAACATTTACGGTGCATCAAAGGTTATGGAGATGCGAATGGCAGATTTACGGGGCCCTCAAAACTTTGATGGTAGCCACTGGAATCAAGGAAGACGTGACCAGGGTCAGGACAAGGGAGATAACAGAATATACACTATGCATCAGTAGTGTGCAGAAAAGGCATTCATCTGTAGAAAAGAGCTAATTTTCTGATAGATGTTCTGGCATGTCGTGTCGTTCTTTCAGTCTCAGACAGGTGTTATTTTAACTCACTCATCATATCCTAAAAGTTCTTATTTTTGCTTCTGAACATTTGGGTATGAAAGACTTAAAACAATAATACTAGGAGACTGAATAAGTTAAAGTAAAAGTTGGGAAAAGTTACTGTAACAATTGGATGGAGAACAGGGAGCGTATAATGCAAATAGAAACCAGGAAGACTCATGGTGAGTTGATTGGTACTAAATGTTAATAGTGAGATCACAGAATCATGGACACCTGCGTTGTTGGAAACTTCACCCCTGTTTGGTGGATTCTCTGAGAGAGAAGCTGGAATATCTAGTGGTGTTAATCATTAATGACTTGAGAGTAATTTGAAAGCACCACATCAGTTCTCTGGCAACTGGTCTACCAACAGTCTCAATGCTTGACCTGTTCTAGAACTGTGTACCAGTTTTGGACTGAATCACCAGACAGGAGCAGGCCCATGGGCAGCTGGTTGTTCCTGGCAGAGTTCAACAAGATGATCATTGCTGAAGGCAGCACAGGAAAGTTGCTGAAGGCAGCAGAAGAAGGTTGCTGAAGGCAGCAGTGGAAGGTTGCTGAAGGCAGCAGTGGAAGGTTGCTGAAGGCAGCACAAGAAGGTTGCTGTCTAGTAACAGAACAATTTGTTTAAAAAAATAAAATGAACATATAATATATAGCTGCTATTATTTGAGTAATTGAGAACTCAAAAGACAGCTTGTAATTATTTGTATTTGTGCAAAAGAACAAAATAAACTGATTCTTCTTTTGTGAAAACAAGAACAAAATGAAGAAAGTTACTTTTCAGTGAAAATGACAGAGTATAACTTGCAGGTTCTCAGCTGAAAAGAACTTTCAATGTAATTTGGAAAAAAAAATATTCTTTTCTGGAACTGCTACCTGAAAATATGATACCCAGTTCTCCCTGTGTGAGTTCTGGGGTCCCTCCCCCCCCCCCCCCCCCCCCCCCCCCCCCCCCCCCCCCCCCCCCCCCCCCCCCCCCCACCCCAACAAGCATGTCATAAGAGTTGACCTGTTAGGGATATTTCCTTGTAAGTCAGAGTGCATCTGCCAGAGAGGTAAAGAATGAACCATCTGCATTCAGATAAGCCAGATCTGTAAAACGGATGTGCACACAAAACTCAACTCCTGGAACAAGTAAAATCAAGAAATGGACAAACAGCCAGAACTTTCTGCTAGAGTTTACAGCCGGTGAGCGCTTAAAAAAAAGGAGGAGAGAAGATATCAAGTAACTCATGAGTCACATTTTAAATGTCACTACCACAGGAACATAATATGTTATATTAGATATTATCTCAGATACCTTGTTCAGTCTTATAGAATAGTTACATTGGATAATGCAGCTAAACTAAGTTTTAACCTGGCGTACCCTGCTAATCTTAGTTGTGTAAGAGTTTTGTCATTAAACACATTGAGACAAATAAAATTAATTGCTGACGATAATGTGAATGACAAATGTGTTGGTACAGTACCTTTTAGTGTCGGTACAGTATCTGGTAGTGTCGGTACAGTATGTGACAGTGTTGGCACAGCATCTGGCTGTGTCAACACAGAATCTGGCAGTGTTGGCACAGTATCTGGCAGTATCAGCACAGTATCTTGCAGTGTCAGCACAGTATCTGGCAGTGTCGGCACAGTATCTGACAGTGTCAAAACAGTATCTGGCAGTGTTGGTACAGTATCTTGTAGTATGTTATCGACGTCATTACACCAGATCTTATCACATATGACTTGTTCCCTCTCCACACAGTGGCAAGGTGCCAGTCGAGAGCATCGTACAACTCTACACAACAGTAGAGTTGAATATAATTATATATAAAACATCCGACATGTCTCACTGTAGTGTACTTATAGAAAAAGTAGTTGCATAGTTGATCATGTCATAAACACACTTACTCCTGAAGTGTGTTGTGTACATGAAGTTATCATGTTGATCATGTCATAAACACACTTACTCCTGAAGTGTGTTGTGTACATGAAGTTATCATGTTGATCATGTCATAAACAAACATGCCACTTACTTTACTCCTCAAGTGTGTAATTATGTACGTGAGTGCTGTATTACTGATCGTGTATATCTTAAACACACTTACAGCCCCTTTCCCCAACCCCCCTTTCTCATATGTGTTGTGTGCATGAATGTTGTATTGTTGCTCATGTCCTGAACACACACACCCCCCTTACTCATGTATGTCATTTACATGAATGTTGTATTATTGATCATAAACACAATTATTGGTCACTCTACGCCTCATATGTCAAGTACATAATTATGTTCTTACTATGCCAGATTTTCTCTTCCAGATAGACCAGATTATTTCTGAGTTTGACAGACATTGGTCGTCAGTAGTCACATTGTTTCACAATGTAAATGTCAGTTGGTGAAGTGATTAAGCTGCTTGCCTCTTGCTCTGAAGGTTGTAGGTTCAAGTTTAGATTCAGTTTGTGAGTGCAAGGGTTTTGGAGGATCGTTGCTGGGCCTATAGAATTTGTGCATGGTTCTCATGGATAATTAGCCACCCTTCGGAGAGTAACCAAGCAATAAAGGTTGACATCTGGCCCTATTCTTCTTCTTTGTTAGCTCAGGTAGAAAGTCCTGGTTGTTCATCCATTTGGACTTTGGCTTTGTGCCAGGGCCTGATTTTTGTGTGTACATTATTTTTACTGGCTTATTTGTGTGCAGTTGATTATTCCTTGCCGCTTGGGCAGATGCAGTCCAACTCTAAGGAAGCCTCCAGTTAGTTGACTCCTAGGACATGCTTGTTGGGTAGGCAGTGGATATATTTTTTTTCCCACAAGGGGAATATCTGGCCCTATGAAAATGATTCTGTCACGTGTAAAAGTTCTTGACAAATGATGGATCAAAACATTATTTCTGAATTGTCATTTGTTGATGTCATTTTGATTTATAAAGCTGAAACATCAGGATTTAAGTTTTCTTTGTAAGATCTGAATGTTGTACATACAACTTTCTATGTTGCATTTATTGTATACAGTGTAAATATGTTACATTAGTAACTATACAGTTGTTACTGAATGCACAGTGAATATTTTACATTTTGCTTACAGTTGTTATTGTTTTACTTTCTCTACTGTAAATTGTTGTTAACTGAACTTGTTGTAGAGTAATGTCAGGGATATCATGAGAAAATCTTTTCTACAAATTGTGTAGAGGGTTGGGAGAACACAAGGAGGCTAAGTATAATAATAATGCCCTGGCTGGCAGATACATAAAATATTGCCCTGGGTGGCAGATGCATATAATAATGCCCTGGGTGGCAGATACATATAATAATGCCCTGGGTGGCAGATACGTATAATAATGCCCTGGGTGGCAGATGCATATAATAATGCCCTGGGTGGCAGATGCATATAATAATGCCCTGGGTGGCAGATACGTATAATAATGCCCTGGGTGGCAGATGCATAAAATATTGCCCTGGGTGGCAGATGCATATAATAATGCCCTAGGTGGCAGATACATATAATAATGCCCTGGGTGGCAGATACGTATAATAATGCCCTGGGTTGGCAGATACATATAATAATGCCCTGGGTGGCAGATACATAAAATATTGCCCTGGGTGGCAGATACATAAAATATTGCCCTGGGTGGCAGATGCATATAATAATGCCCTGGGTGGCAGATACGTATAATAATGCCCTGGGTGGCAGATACGTATAATAATGCCCTGGGTTGGCAGATACATATAATAATGCCCTGGGTGGCAGATACATAAAATAATGCCCTAGGTGGCAGATACATATAATAATGCCCTGGGTGGCAGATACATAAAATAATGCCCTAGGTGGCAGATACATATAATAATGCCCTGGGTGGCAGATACATATAATAATGCCCTAGGTGGCAGATACATATAATAATTCCCTGGGTGGCAGATACATATAATAATGCCCTGGGTGGCAGATACATATAATAATGCCCTAGGTGGCAGATACATATAATAATGCCCTGGGTGGCAGATACATATAAAACTATATTTGAAATATAAAACAAATACTTAAATAAAATGTACATGGTTTAAGTTGCCATTCTATTTAACCACCTTCCCAGTTCTGATTGGGGGGGGGGGGCACGGCAGGGCCTCCCTGCTGTCAGGGATATAGTGAGTAATGTCAGAGCTGATCAAAAATCACGGGATAATTTAGTGTTTGGTTTGGCCAGCATGCTGCAGGAGCCCGTGACTGACCAGAGGTCACTGATGTGGGTTGACTGGAGACTGGCAACCTCAGTCCACAGAAAACTAGCTGCAGAATCTGGCCAACCGTGTACAAGTCAACAGTGGGCTGGCCGAGGTTGACTGGAGACTAGCAACCTCAGTCCACAGAAAACTAGCTGCAGAATCTGGCCAACCATGTACAAGTCAACAGTGGGCTGGCCGAGGTTGACTGGAGACTAGCAACCTCAGTCCACAGAAAACTAGCTGCAGAATCTGGCCAACCATGTACAAGTCAACAGTGGGCTGGCCGAGGTTGACTGGAGACTAGCAACCTCAGTCCACAGAAAACTAGCTGCAGAATCTGGCCAACCATGGACAAGTCAACAGTGGGCTGGCCGAGGTTGACTGGAGACTAGCAAACTCAGTCCACAGAAAACTAGCTGCAGAATCTGGCCAACCGTGGACAAGTCAACAGTGGGCTGGCCTGGGTTGAGGGCCCTGTGCTTCATTGGGAGATTAGTGGCAAAAGAGGAAGAATTGTGCTGACTCACATTTCTTTGTGTGTTGGGCACACAAGAGGCAATATTGACTGAATATCCCTGACCTGAAAGCTGTTCTGGTTAGTGTTGTTGTTTTTAAAATGTGAAATAGGTTCAAACCCACCTAATTGCACTTTCATGGATGTCATTTGTCGCTTGACAGTTTCCCACAAGCACACATGTG